GCCCTGCACCCCCAGCCTGGGCTGGTAAGAGGGGTTCCCAGATCCAGGGGCAGGATCTCCCTGTGGACCTTCACGAGGATCCCATGGGCATACTTCAAGCCTGTCCAAGTCCCTCTGGATGGATCCCATCCCCCATGTGCCAACTGCACCCCTCAGCTCGGTGTCATCTGCAGACTCACAGGGAGTGCCCTTGATCCCCTGTGTCATGGATGAAGATGCTTCAGTGCACTCACAGGAGCCTCTCCTCACTCCATGAGCTGGGGCTGTGCCTCCAGCCCTAGGGGTTGGACCCTGCTGCAGGAGGTGGCCAGGAGCCTCTGCTCAGGGAAGGCTCACACAGGCTGGAGAGCAGAGCTGCACCTACCTCTCACACATGTCAAAGATGAAGAGGCAGAAGGAGCCAACAGCTATGGGGCCAACCTGCTTCCAATACCCCGCGAGGCGATTCCGCTCGTTCTGGTCCTGATGGGCACCATCCAGAGGTGAGGAGAAGGAGAAGAAGGACAAGCAAGTCAGCCTGAAAGTCCTCCCAACCTGGCACCACACCCATCCCTGGCGTTGGCAGCAGGGCTGGAAACCCCCTTCCCTTCCTTGCCACACCCACCATCATGTGCTCTCCGCAGAAGATGATCCAGAAGGACAGGAGCATGGCATAGAAGATGCCTTGTCGGATGTCCCCGAAGAGCAGCATCCAGGTCCAGTCAAAGCCAATGGAAAACCACTCCACGGGGACGTTGATGAACGTCATGGAGATCCCCAGAGCAAAGATGACCCTGCAGAGGCAGAAGGACCACCTCTGCCCAGCTTGCAAGGCAAAGCCACGGAGCCCCAGAAGCCAAAGGTGTGTGGGAGGAGGGCTGGCACAGCTTGGGTAGTGGTGGTGGGGTGTCACCTCCTGCCAGCAAACCCTTTGGGGTGGCCAGGAGCAGATGCAGCTACTCGTTCTCTGGGGGTTCAGTGGGCAAGGAAAGAGAAGCTACAGAGGTCTTCTGCTGCCAGGGTTGGAGGGAGAGGACAGAGAAGAACCCATCCCTATCTCCCCTGCCACGAGCTCTGCCTGGGAGCAGTGATAAGCTCAGTCAGGGTCCTCTTGTTTGAGGGCCACCTCGGCCACCCTGTGGGCCCCTACTCACTTCTCCAGCAGGACAGGAGCTCGTGTCATCAGCGTGATCCTTCTCCAGTACCACACCATGATAATTAAAATGCTGGGGGTGAGGAAGGTCTTCATGGCAAACCACACCTTTGTAAAGCCTCCGTTTTGATGGATGCCCTAAAGGAAATCAAGGTGGAAAGCAAGAGTTGGACAGGGTGTGACATCCTCGCTCCGTGGTGAGTACAAGGAGATGGAACTACTCTTTGAAAGATGTCTACTTGGCACCCAGGCAATCTGAACAGGCTTCAGAAGTCCTGAAAATACCAACACACACAGAGCTGGAGAGCTGGCAAGAGAGGGGCACTGACACGGTGTGGAAAAAGCTGGTGGAGTTGCTCCCAGGCAAGTCACAAGATCCCAGAGTCACAGAGTGGTGGGGTTGGCAGGGACCTCTGGAGATCATCTCATCCCACCCCCTGCTCCAGCAGCTCACCCACAGCAGGGTGCCCAGGATGGTGCCAAGGTGGGTTTGGGATCTCTCCAGAGCAGGAGACTCCACAGCCTCTCTGGGCAGCTCCTCCAGGGCTCCATCCCCCTCAGGAGAGTCACAAAGCTCAGTCACCACTGGAGGGAAATGCATCAGCCACATGAAGGCCCTTCTCCAGACACGTCCTCCCACCACCGTCTGCGGCCACCACAGCAGCTGCCTCTGCTCAGAGGGACAGTGGTGGGAGGGGTTCCAGACAC